TGGGTTAACTAAAGATTTCCCGTAGATTAATATTATTGACCAACAATCTTTAGGGGCACATTGCTTAGTGTTGATTGCTCTTAGTCGTATAACAAATTACCATAAATTATAATATTACACTATCACCTTAATAACACCAGAATGTGTGTGTGTGTGTGTGTCTGTCTGTCTGTCTGTCCGTGTGTAATTTCCGGTCGGTTATACAAAAAAAACGGTAAGAGTTACGGGACTGATTTTTTCGGTATAGTGTCGACAAAACTCTGATGAAGCCCATAGGAAATTTTTTTTAAAATCGGCCGATGGTAAGTGGTTTAATTGATGGTTTTGTACCACAAATGTTACATAAAATTGCGTGAGCAGAACGGCAAGAGTTACGGGGCTTGCTCTCTCTCATTACTGTGTAATATGTTATAGCTGCATTTAAGTAGCGTCATAATTGGATTAGCCTGGAAGATTCGCTGTAATGTTATACCTTAAGCTTATTAGGGGAGGGGGGACTGTTAGTGTTTGGGGTCTGTTTGGACTGCAGAGAGAGAGAGAGAGAGAGAGTTCATACGACAATGTTATGCGTGTTTTCAAATATAATATGCGGGTGTGGTGCGGAGTTAACAAGGGTTAATTTCTATAACGATTTAAATAAAAATAGAAAGCGGTTCAAGACGGGAGTGATGAGGTGTAATACTCGGTGTTCAGACCTTATGATCATGGAGTGTGGTGCCTCATGGCTAATAATGACTTAATTATCCACAAGAAATAACTGATTATGAGATTATTGTTTAAGAAACTATTGGGTCACCTAATGCGGGTTTTGACTCAGCGGGTAATTACTCCTACCCTTTTTAACTGCGGCAGTGAAATCCCGGCCGTAGGCCGGGTTACACTAGTCACCTTAATAACACCAGAATGTGTGTGTGTGTGTGTGTGTGTGTCTGTCTGTCTGTCTGTCCGTGTGTAATTTCCGGTCGGTTATACAAAAAAAACGGTAAGAGTTACGGGACTGATTTTTTCGGTATAGTGTCGACAAAACTCTGATGAAGCCCATAGGAAATTTTTTTTAAAATCGGCCGGTGGTAAGTGGTTTTATTGATGGTTTTGTACCACAAATGTTACATAAAGTTGCTTGAGCAGAACGGCAAGAGTTACGGGGCCTGCTCTCTCTTTCTCTCGCTCTCTCTCATTACTGTGTAATATGTTATCTGCTGCATTTAAGTAGCGTCATAATTGGATTAGCCCGGAAGATTTGCTGTAATGTTATATAATACCTTAAGCTTATTAGGGGAGGGAGTACTGTTAGTGTTTGGGGTCTGTTTGGACTGCAGAGAGAGAGAGAGAGAGAGAGTTCATACGACAATGTTATGCGTGTTTTCAAATATAATATGCGGGTGTGGTGCGGAGTTAACAAGGGTTAATTTCTATAACGATTTAAATAAAAATAGAAAGCGGTTCAGGACGGGAGTGATGAGGTGTAATACTCGGTGTTCAGACCTTATGATCATGGAATGTGGTGCCTAATAATGATTAAATTATCCACAAGAAATAACTGATTATGAGATTATTGTTTAAGAAACTATTGGGTCACCTAATGCGGGTTTTGACTCAGCGGGTAATTACTCCTACCCTTTTTAACTGCGGCAGTGAAATCCCGGCCGTAGGCCGGGTTACACTAGTTATTATTATAACATCAAAACATTAGCTCTACTAGCAAGCAAGCCATATTCAGGCTGCAGTGTTGCAAGTAAAGTCTACCTTAACTCTTATTTATAGCCCTCCTTTCTATTTAAAGTTTAGTTTCACTCTGATGGAGAGCACCTGTTCTCTACGGAGCCAAGTTCAGTTTAATCTGAAGCCTCTTGCTCCTTTCTTCTCAAAGGATATATGTTTACAAAGTTAATTTCGGTTGTAACCATGATACAGTTAATAATGAGGGCGGTAATTAGAATTACAAAGGAGTTAGAGCTCCAAAATAAGATCAAGTTTTGAGCCCTACAGATAGAATTAGTTTGCAAATTATCAATTGATATCAGGTTCCCGGCCCAGTTCTCTTATTTTCTCTCTTCAAAGGGAATTAATATGTCCTGATGCTTCAATGTTATTTCCACAGCTGCCACAATGTTCTTAATTCTTTGAATTAAAAAGTCGAGTTCTTGTACATTGGATACTTCTCGTCCTTTCTCTCATGAGATAGTATCTACTTAACATCTGCACATTCTAGACGGGGAAGCTTTCTTTATTTCTATTATCAGGTTATTGTTGATACTGTATATATAATGATATTCCAAACTCAACATTAGCCACTAATAGACCTGTTATAAGGTAGCTCTTCAAATATGAAATAGACATGAAGGATTAAACAAAAGATGGCTGAGGGCCAACAAGACCGTTTTGTCTGAGAAACAAGGTTCACGTGGCAGCGCGTGGCACTGAACTCGCCAGAGAGCCAGAACATTTGCCTCAAAAGTACCTCATGCCCCTATTAGATGCATTACCCCAGACCTTAGTTCAAGTTCCTGTATCTCTATCCAGCACTCAGACTCATTCGTGCTTTGTACAAATTGTGTAATTTGTTCCCTCTTTTTTCTGCAAGGATGCGGGAACGTGGTCCTTGCATCCTTTTATTTTGTAACTTAGTGACGACACTTAAAATTTGCTATTACCATAATAAAACGGGGATAACATTTTGTTACGTTCATAGTATCTCAAATTTTGTCAGAGATATTAAGAGTACATACCTTAGATACAATTGTGTGCGTTTACTTGAAACTGATCTCAGCTCAATGCACTACTTCAGTATCACTATGTCACTTTTTTATCTCCTGTTTGCCAAAACAGGTGCTGGTCATCATAACGAGTAAGGACATGAAACTTGCACCACTTGTTGGCTGATAGTTGATACCTAGTCTATCATGTCTGAGTATTGTAATCAATTCTTTAGTCTGACATTTATGACAAATATCATATTATGTAATATTTTATGCGGGGATTTGACGAATTTTCTAACTCAACTAAATATGCTGCTGTCTTCTCTCTAAGTCTCTAATCTGATTTTAGTCTGCTCTTTAAAATTTCGGGCTGCCAAGTAGAAAAAGCTGCAAAATACCCTTTGAAATTTCTAGCGACCGCAAATAATGTCAGCAGAAGAATACATGATGCCTGGAGACGGTAGACAAGAGGTCCCTGTGCAGATTGAGAAGTTTGTCCAGCAACGAGGATTCCTCATTGCCTTTGCAGTCATTGATTTCGTTCTGGGAGTCGGGAGCGGATTTTTGAATGGTAAGAACCTTGAAAATATTTAATTTTGATGATGAGTCTCAGCAGCAAATCAGTAATCACCCGGTGATCTTGTACAATATCTTATGAACTCAAAGTAAACCATACATTTTTTCAACACAATATCTTGAGAAAATGATTTCCTAAGTAACAATTACACCTCTCCCAGGTGTCTCTGTACTGTACTACAAACAAAAGCTGGGACCTACAGACAACATCAACCACCTCCTCTACTTCACCCTCTCCCTCTTCGGTGTCCTGATCTCCTGTGGAGCCTTCCTCCACATCTTCGTCCTGATCTTCACGCTCTACTACGACCAGGACACCCTGAACATCCTACTTCCTACATCCTACATCCTCATGATAACCTCCACCTACACTTCAGCTCTGATAAATGTGAGCCTGGCTGTGGTGAGGACTATCAACATTGTGAACCCCCTCCAGAGGATCAACAGGAAGGCTGCTATCATCAGTATATCAGCGTACTGGCTGCTAACAGTTACCGTGGCTGTTGTGGATGTCGCGTTTTGGAAGAGCGGATCTAGCATTGGACCAGGGTATGAGTATTACTACACTTTCATAAACATGTCCAGTTGCTATGGTATCATATCTCTTCTCCACACTAAAAACTTACTCCACCCGTTTATCGTAGCCAATCACAAAGCCCTCTTCCCTGTCCTTATATGGGTGATTCCCTGTGTTATCCCCTCTGTTTTCTGCCTCGTCTCCTCCTCAATACAGATCTTCTCTCTACGAAGAAGGAAACTCCTCCGACAAGAAGACCAGATCCACAGCAAGGTTACAATAACAATCCTTCTGCTAACAGTAACCTTCTTCATCTGCAACACCGTTAACTTCACCTACGTCTTCCTTATGTCGTACGGAGAGTGGATTGGGTACAAGGTGTTCCTCACCCTGTACGTGGTTACCAGCATGGTTCCCTTCATCAACACCCTGGTGAACCCCATCATCCTCGTCTCCAGAGGGCATCTTCTCAGGAGGTTCTTTGTGGGGTTCCTAAAGAGGAGGAGGAGGCTGACGAGCGGGGAGGTGTTGTTGGAGATGGAGTGTGTCCAGGGGAGGGAGGACTTGAAGATTGAGCATCCTGTCACTAGACAGGAGACTGTTGAGAGCTTTACAAGGACATTCAGTAGATAGTATGCTAAGTATGACGATAAAATATGCTGATGAAAACATGCTAAATATTCAGGTGAAAATATGCATTCAGTTGAACTTTAACTTTATTTGTCAGTGCCATTTGTTGGAATTTGAACCCTTTTAAAGACTGAAGGCGAGAATTTTGCCACATTTTTCAGGTTGGGTCAAGACTTATTTTATACAAATTATTCTGATTGCCGATTTCAATTACAGCGGTAATCGCTAATATTTATGCTCAATTCGTGCATGAATGATTCTAACTATGTATCATTTATTTTTTATCTATTACCGTAAGTTGGACTTATTATTCATGGTCTGTGCGTCTCTCAGTTACATTTCATAAATTACAGAATCCCAGTTGCTTAATTATAATCTTTATTGAGATGGTTATTACAGCGGATCTTAGGGGTACTGCTAGGGCCGAGCCCGAAATTATAATTTAACGGTTGTTCTAAATATCAAAATAATAAACAGATAATCTCAGATTGAGTTTAAGACAATCAACTTATTTATTTGCCTGATCAAGTAAAAATAATTGAGTAATTAAATAATGATTAAGTAATTAAATAACTGACCAGCGATGGCGGCAGGACGTGCTTTCATCTCTTTAACTCTGTTAATGACGGGGTCACAGTAATCTTCTAACGTAGCCAACCTTGCGTTAAACACCTTCAAAAAGGTGAGTAATTAGTAATTAGTATCTAATTATCAATTAGCTTCGTGCCACTGCAATTGTGATATATCCTCTACCTACACTGTCGGAATTTTTTCTATTAATTACAGATTGAAATAATAACTAATTAAGTAATAGTTAATCTCTAAAATAGTATTTATAATTAATTATCTAATTACCACGAAAGTTTCACCCCAACTGTCCTCTTCCAGCCAGTCTGTCTCCTTACTCAGTGCCTCCTTCATCTTCTCCATTTCTTTAGGTGTGCTGGCTGCTATGTACACATCTACATTGGGAGACGTGGATTTTAGCAGTCGCAGTTATGAGTTACACATAAAGTGACATAATGAAAAGGAGCTGTAATTTTGTAGGACCTTTTCCGAAGAAGAAATAACGACTTAGTCACATCTCAGGTGACAAAGAAAATGTTGATATATCGTGTAAGATGTTCTAGTTAAAAAGAGCAGAAGTCTGAAATGGGCATATTTTCTTAGTGAAGTGGATTGTATCTAATAGATAGAAACTAACCGTCATCCTCTAACAAATCCTTCATGTTGATAACGAAAGATTCCAGGCTGTTCCTCGCCATTTCGGGGGCACGTTTATCATCATCTATCTTCTTCAAGGCTGCTAGTTTTTCTTTGCTAGGTTTTGTGTCAGCCAAAATGGGGATTCCTGGTAAAGATCAGGGTGTCAAACATCAGAGCAGTGACTTAAATAGGCAAGTGCCTATTTCCTTCACATATTCAAATAATATCTAGGTCATATTTGACAGAACAAAACACAATCTAGTTTCACTGGTTCATTTTATACATTCATATTATTTAACAATGAAATATTATATACGTAAATGTATGTTCAAGTTCAGGATTGTTTACAACTTACCGAAATGGATAGAATCCAGTTTAAGGATTTCTTTAATAGTAACAGGCTTCTCCGGAACAGCTTCAGTTTCATTCTGATGAAAATTTTATTTCACTGACATGATTGAAATATATTTAATTACTAAAAATTACATTGTGAGAAGAGTATCTGTATAATCGCTGAATACCGTGTTTGGACCTTGCAATTGTTCTCTAACTAAACAAGCACCTTAGCATCTTTTTTGACCTCCTCTTTATTTTCTTCGGTTTTCTTCTCTTCCTCGGGTTTCTTCTCTTCCTCGGGTTTCTTGTCCCCCTCGTCTTTCTTCTCATCTTCTTTCTTTTCTTCTCCAGCCTCACTTTCCTTCTTTTCACCTTCCTCATCACTCTGGTTAAACAGGACGTTAAATTGGAAACTGTTGTGTATAAGATGAGAAAGTTAGTAAATTACAAGTTAAGTTCCGTTGCCGGTAACAAGACATAAAAGAGCAAAGCAAAAGTTAAACTGAAACAAAACCCCATAATAATTGCTTGGGGAAGAAAAAATGTACGGAATGTCGAGGACAACCTGTTTTTTAACATCTGTTAAGCAAAAACCTTACATATTTACATATATTTACAGCGTATATACATATATTTACAGCGCGGGGATACGAAAGGTACTGCATGTAATCATGCAACTACAAAATCAATAGTACAACATACGTTTCCACCGAAGAAATTAGAGACGCTATCCATCCACCCAGGCTCCGTTTTGTTAGCCACAATGGTCTCGAACAGTGCTTCTACTGAGTCAACCGAGATTAGGCCTGACTCGTCCACCTGTCAGTCAAAAAGGTTACTAACAGGTTACTAACAAGTTATGTACTGGTTACTAACAGGTTACTAACAGGTTCCTAACAGGTTACGAAGGATTATCTTAGAAAAAGCTGTTTCCAGGATTTCTTAGTCATTACGGTGCAGTGATCACCATTACCATCTCGATAATTCAAATTGTTTCGTGGTCAGGATACAGAAAACATTTTTTAAGACATACCAAGATGTGAGCCTTGATTCCTTTAGCGGTTTTGTCGTGATGCTGGTTGAACACATCTTTAACTCCCTTAACGTTAACCATCATCAGTGGTAGAGAACCAAACTCACTGTAATTATATAGTTGGTCAGATATAAGGTAAAACTAAAAGGGCTCAGAAATCTGCAAATTACGACTTAGGAAAAACCTGGTGAGATTCCGCAAGAAAATCATGAAATTATACTTGTACTACTTAACTTTTTTGTAAGGCAAGAAATACTATAAAATAAAGACACGCGTACTTGGTCTGTTTCTCAGATAGGTAATCCAGGTTACCGTAGCTGACGTTAAAGTGGAAGTCGTCAGAAAACTTGGTGTAAGTCATGGCTTTCTTCTGGGGGAGTCCGTTGTTACGGTAATACAGCTCCTTGTTAACCAGTTTAGTCTCTGTTACTTCGCCTGGGAGGTCATTTAGATTTATTTATTTATAAATTAAATTTATGCTATATATATGCATACTGTATATAGCATCTTTTTATGCTATACATCCTTTTATGCACTATCTTTTTATGCTATACATAGCATGAATTTTTTGCTATATATAGCATAATTCATGCTATGTATAGCATACAAAGATGAAATAATGAAATGATCAGGGTTTGAGAGGAATTTGCGGCTGCAGTCCGCAATCGGTTATACCATAAAGTTTCAATCAGCAGAAGTAACCCCAGCAAAATGTTGTGTGTAGGGCTGTATTTGTATAAGAATTGCTTAGAAATATGTTTTAAAATAAAATGTAACCTTCTTCGTTGAGAACAAGTTTGTTGAAGGAAACAAAGAATGGGAACTGGTTGGCGTCTCTCAACTTTATCTGTTTCGTTCTGAAAATTATTATATAATAATATATGTAATAAAGGTCTAGTATATAATTATTTTTAGTTTTAGAATTTATGACACTCGTTACTATCGGTTTTCAATTCAACCTCATAAATATACATAAATACCCATACCTATTCTGAGATCGGACGAAGTAATACTAATAGGTAGTTATAGGTATTTTATAAGAAAGCAAAAGTGTTGAGAAAACAAAAAAACCTTAAATATACATAAATATGCTACACCTATTTTGTCTTTGAAATCGGAGGGAGTAATAGGTATTTATGAGGTTGATGCCCCCCCTCTCCGTTAGATAATTCTTTACCGATTATGTGGAACACAAAAGAACGCTCTACCTTAGATATCTCTTTGTTGATTTTTTAAATGAATCACAAGGCGCGCCGACACTACCTATTGTTTCAGTTTGATCTGATACCTTTATCGATACCCCCTCTTAGTCAACACCTATTTTGAAATCGGAGGGAGTAATAGGTATTTATGAGGTTGATGCCCCCTCTCCCCTCTCCGTTAGATAATTCTTTACCGATTTTGTGGAACACAAAAGAACGCTCTACCTTAGATATCTCTTTGTTGATTTTTAAAATGAATCACAAGGCGCGCCGACACTACCTATTGTTTCAGTTTGATCTGAAACCTTCATCGATAGTGACGATACCCCCTCTTGGTCAACAGCTGTTGTTCAAATTACAATATTTTGTTGCGCGGTTATTATTTAAGGATATTATTTAAGAATATTGCGCAGTCGTATTTTCTTCAAGTCACAGATTGACAACCCATACAGAAATTAATCTGTGGTCTTATGAAAATATGATATCCGGGCGATGCTTTTTGATAGTTTTTTTAGTTGTTGTTTTGAATGTTGATGCCCTTCTCGGCTCCAATCACCCACAAAAACCTCCTTCTAAAGAAAAGATAGTAATATCTATTGGACTGTACAGAAAAAACGCTCTTGTTCTGCCGGATGATGGATTTGCAGATTCTATGTGCTTAGATGATGCTTTTTATTTCATGCATATTAAAAATACCACCTCAAACAGATACGATAGACTTTATTATTTGGACCAAACGAGGGACAGAGACAAATTACGTCGATCCGTCCACAATTATACTTGCCCCATGACAATGAATATTGGCAATTTACGTTATTATGATGTGTCAAACATTTATGATTATCTAACATTGGACAAGACAAATTGGAAGTGTTTGATCCCCAAAAGTTATGTCTGTGATGGTTACTCTAATTGCCTAACTGACGAGTGTAGATGCGGAAGTAATACTACTGAGAACCCTGTCTTCTACTGTGCTCAACAGCCTGGATGTGTTACTTTTCTACAGGTAACGAATACAGTTTTCTTATAACATTAGTTGTGTTAATCATCATAGTTATGACATAGTTAATGGTATTGGTTATGACATGGTCAGGATTATAGTCTATGCCCAATATTAATAGGGAATAAACCAATGTTACAATTTTGCTCAGGGTAGAAGTATTTACCCGTTGAGTCAAAACCTGCATTAGATGAGCAATTCTATTCGTTTGTATATATTACCGTGTAATATATACCAACACTACATAATATGCAGTAATAGGAGAGCGAGCGAGGAGGGAGAATATGTGAGCCATTTTATCTAACATTTGCAGTACAAAACCATCTATTAAACCACTTTCCACCGACCGATTTGAAAAACCTTTACCATTTGGCTTTGTCAGTTTTGTCGGCACTTTACCGACAAAATCAGCCCCGTAACTCTTACTGTTTTCTTGATAAAGCCGCTCGGAAATTACACACGCACGCACACACACACACACAGAAAACACACATTCTGAGATTATTGTTTAAGATACCGCATTCTCTGATATTGTTTTAAAACTCTACCTCCGAAAACAGGTTTGCGATGACGTCATGAACTGCTTGGACGGGAGTGACGAGTGTCTCTGTCAAAACCATGTGCACGTAAAACTTAACAATCAAACGATATACTGTGTCTCAGAAAGAATCTATTGTACAATATTTTTTCCGGACAGAATTATCTACCAAATTCATCCCCAAGTCGATTGTAGTGCTCACAACCTTAGTAAGAATAATTTCAATCCAATCGAATTATGTATGAGGGAGCATTTTTCAATGCTGTTCCAGCTTTCAGACGCCCAGATAGTTGATCTTTGTGAACAAAATTGCAGCAGTTTCTTTAAACAAGACCACTGGCCTAAGTTTTGCAAGCTGTTGACCCTGAGTGTGCATGGGTTTCCAGAACTATCGTGTGAAACCATAGGAGCAGAGGCCGAGGGAGTCTATCGTAGACCCGGCATGGAATCGATTTGTGATGGTAAAGCAGACTGTGTGAGTGGGGCAGATGAAGAAGGATGCCCAGGCAGATTCTACTGCTATAATAATTCGAACAGCTTGTCTACTCTTACCAAAACAAAAATGTGGGTCCCAGCGCATAAGAAATGCGACCAAGTGAAAGATTGTCCAAACAGCATGGATGAGTGTAATCTTGACTGTGATCTAGATAACATAGCTTCTCCAAAATCCCTCATAAAATCATACGCTCTTTCATGTTTAAATGTCATCTTCGGATTAGCAGTTTTGATACTAAATGCAATGAACGGATATAAAGCAATGAAAAGTACTGCCTCTAATTTAATCGCAAAAACTGATAGACTTCTGTGCATGCAAATATTTGTATATGACTTTATTATGGGAATCTATCTCTGCTTCATCGTGGTGGCATCTGTCGTTCTCCGATACAAAGGAGACTATTGTGTACTCTCTGACTGGTGGAGGTCGAGTGTTTACTGCGATATTTTGGGGGTGATTTTCTCTTTTTCAACTCACGGATCTCTCTTGATAGTTTCTCTGATGAGTATTGTGAGAAGCATCCAGTGCACTGTGTCATTTATCAGGATTCCTTACAAAGCCATTATTTTACTGTCCTGCATCATTTTCATACTTAACTTGATTCATGCAATGATTCCTGCAGTAAAGCTCCCCCAAATTGAGCACATCTTCAAATCGAACATTTTTTTGCTCAACATTGCTGAAAATCCGCTGTTGAGCTCCTTTGATGAACAGCACATAGCAGATGTGTACCACACATTCATTTCAAACCAGACTACTAAGTACACTACAACGATGCTGAATGAATTAAAGCAAATAACAAGCATGCCTGAAATCTTCGACTTTACAGTAATTGGATATTATGGAACCACACCGATTTGCATACAAAACATATTCCAAGAACAGGAATCTTACCGAGCTTATAAAATTGGGTATTGTACTGTCATATCCGTACTGTTAGCTGTAGTTTCTGTATCGTATATTCTAATAGTTGTGAAGCAAAACAAGTCAGCTGCTACCGCACAGAACAACCAGGGAGATCATCAGCAAAACAAAGACCTTCTCATAAAGGTTTCCTTGATGATTGGATCTCAACTGGTAAGCTGGGTGTCCCTAATGATAACCGCTAACTATTTCTTTGGCGCCGACGGAAGTTCTGCACCAGAATATGTATTTGAAGTTTTCGCCCTGTTTGTGATGCCTATCAACAGTTTACTAAACCCAATATTTTACAGTGGTATGTATAAATATGTCAAGCAGAAAGTTTCATATATTATCAGTGCTATTAACAAAAGACTCGCTCCACCTGACCAACCAGAAGAAAATGAAATGAACAATATCAATCCAACTTAACAGACTATAAGCTAAGTAATGTCGTTCATTACATATCCTGGCCCGATGTTTTGATCCAAAATATGTAGCTATTTTTAATTAAATATGTTCACTAAAATTGATAGCCCTTGCGGTTCTGTACCGTAATCGAAAGTCTTACAATTTTGTAGTTAAAAAGATTAAGAGAAAAGAATTTCTCTAAAACTCACACTATTGAGCAATATCCGCATATTTAATACTAATATCCGCATATTTAATACTAATATCCACATATTTAATACTTTAAATAGGATAGAGACATCTTTATTTTATCAAGGGAAACGCACATTTATATTTATGTGCTAACCTGGCCCGCAGTGAGCGTGGCCAGGTTATCATTATGTGTTTTATGACCGCAGACTGCTAAGCTGTTAAATTTTGAACATTATAAACCCGTTGCAAAAGGGATATTTAGCTATTTTCAGTGTTTAGTTTTGTTAATTTGTTAGTCAGTTCTTTTACATAACTTGTCCAGCCGATGTAAAACCTTTATTTATTTAAAACCAATATAAAAATATCATAAAAATACTATAAAAAATGTTATAAAACTGTTGCAAAGGGGATATTTAGCTATTTTCAGTGTTAAGTTTTGTTAATTTGTTAGTCAGTTCTTTTACTTGTCCAGCCGATGTAAAACCTTTATTTATTTAAAACCAATATAAAAATATCATAAAAATACTATAAAAAATGTTATAAAACTGTTGCAAAGGGGATATTTAGCTATTTTCAGTGTTTAGTTTTGTTAATTTGTTAGTCAGTTCTTTTACTTGTCCAGCCGATGTAAAACCTTTATTTATTTAAAACCAATATAAAAATATCATAAAAATACTATAAAAAATGTTATAAAACTGTTGCAAAGGGGATATTTAGCTATTAATATTTTCAGTGTTTAGTTTTGTTAATTTGTTATTAAGTTGTTTTACTTGTCCAGCCGATGTAAAACCTTTATTTATTTAAAATCAATATAAAAATATCCTAACATTATACGTACTATAAAAAATGTTATAAAACTGTTGCAAAAGGGATGTTTAGCTATTTTCAGTGTTTAGTTTTGTTAATTTGTTAGTAAATTGTTTTATTTGTCCAGCCGATGTAAAGCCTTTATTTATTTAAAACCAATATAAAAATATTATAAAATTACTATAAAAAATGTTACATACGGCGTAACATGTTCCTCCATTCCACTCGCTTTAGAGCCAACTGTTTTACTGCATCTCTGCTGATGTTATCGACACCAGCCGCATCCTCGAGTACACAGACCATCCAGCCTT